CATGAGGGTTTCTTGGGTCTTAACAATGTTCAAATATTGTTGAAAATACTAACAATCAAGAATCTCATAGAGGTAAAATATTACATGTATACCACAGTTTTAGCAGGAACCGGCGACCCCAATTACTTATCATCCCATCTGGCTCTTACATTTCCAAACAGAAATGGACCCCATAAGTTCTTAGGGAAAGGGGCGTAGTCATCCGCTCTTAGCTTCTTCCTGGTGAGTGGGGGGTGCAGTTGGGTAACAGCAGCAGTTGGAGGTCAGTCCATCTCGTGGTTCCTGATAGAAGGCAGAAGTCATCAGGTGTTTGATGTGCATCCTGGCACTTGACAGGCTTCTCTTTCGGAACCATTCAGCTGCACAGACTTTGTAGGTCCTGAGAAAACAGAAATAGATATGCCTCTCCAAGAGCTTAATTGTGTATCCATACATTATTTTCAAAAGGATTTGTCTTAGCAATTTACATTTATGAATATTTTCATCTATAAGCCAATTAAGATAGACTATATAGCTTGCCACATAAACATGTACATGTATATCAGATAACACATTATAAAACAAAACTGCTTTTGTAATAGCTACTTGAGAATTCTCTTAATTGTGTTAAAATTACCAATTGTTTAGAATTACATTTTGCTCTTAATAATCTGAATAAACCATACCTAAGTTTACTATTACATTTTAGCAATGCCCCCCAATTTTTTTTTAACAGATTGAATCAGTTGTCTGTCCTACAATTAACTTTACCAACTGAAAGATACAAACTTTGAAATACATTCTTCTGACTTTGAGGCTGCTAGGGGCCATCTAGAAATCCCAAAACCAGAAGAGTTCTGAGACTCCACTTCCCTGGACTCACAGTTCATCAAATCTGCAAGTCAACTATACAATTCCCAAATTTATAGCAGATCTGAAAAAATACAAAATCACAGCAGGCAGGTCCTCCTTGCTCTCCAGGCACTCCCCATGTGAGCAGCCTCATCTCACCGGGGCACAGGCAGAGCCCCAAGCCTGCCCCTTGAGAAGAGGCCTTCTTGGGCATCACACGCTCCAGTCATCTAATGGTGGAGGCAGGCCTATTTTATAATCAGGAAACATCTGATAATCCAAATTATTTTGAATGACAATTACACTACTCAAATTTTTGTCTCAATTTTTGAGAGTTCCAGGGATCCTACTAGAACACTCAAAGTCATGAGACTTGGTTTAGAACTCTGAAGAATTTAGAGGTCCAAATGAGTTTAACTTGTTAGACTTGATCAATACCAGGACAACACTGAAGATCAAACAGTAAGAAAACATCATACAAACTTTTCTAATGGAGGTGGGGAATCTGGTCTGGCCAGGGCCTGTTAAATTTGTTAGACCTCTCTAAAATTATTTACCAGGAGAAAGAAAGATGGTAGGTCATTGTCCGTCACAACTTGTCTGTCAGTCGTCACACACGCACCCAGTTCTGAACAAGAACAACTTAACCATTCAAGACAAAATCAGAACTGGAGAAAGAATATTAAAAAAAAACCTAGTTTTTGTCTGGACAAAAATAACAGAATACCAATAATAATGACTAAACATATGCACAAACACATCAGAACAGAGACATACAACTCTTAAACCCTTTGCAATTTCCAACCTCTTCTTTGACATACTTTAACCTGGAGCTATTTTATAAAACAAGTACTTAGGTTCCTCTCATGCTTTAAGCTAATTTAACAGTGGACCACTCTATATCAGATTATTTTTGTTAAATTCAGTTACAGAACACATATGTCTTTCTTTTTTCTTTCTTACTCTTTTACCCACCCCCCCCCCTTTTTTTTATATCTACCTTGCTTGAATTGTTTGATTCTCTGGTCAGCCTATTCTGACCAACAGCATTCCCCATTTTATGTAGAAGTTCTTCAAGTTCGGTGTCCAATTTATTCTGGGAGATCGCTGAACCCATTTTATTGTCCTTTTCACAGGATAAATTAAACACCAAGACCTAACTATTCTTCAAAAGCAATCTAAAATCTAACTATGTCTCAAAATAAATCTAAAACATTAACTATATTTCAAAATAGATCTTAAGCCTACCTATATTTCAAAATATAACTCCCTTTCCTACCAGATTAGGAAAAACTTACAATACGTCCCACTTACCTGCTGGCCAGCCTCCTGGGACGACCCTTCGCCATATATCCTCTCTTTCTCAATCTCGGTGGAACCTCCATTTGTTGGCAACGCCTGCATTGCCACATACTTCCAGCCCCGAGTCGAGTGGAGGGACTAGGGTTATGAGACAGACAAGACACACAAGACACACAACACACTGAGGCTCATTCTTGTGAAGTGAGGCCTTTATTCAACGTTGAACTCTCTTATATAGTCTGCTTGGCCCCTCCCAGGATCTTCCCAATGGTTAGGCAACACATAAGCTCCCCCAAGGACATGCAAAAAGGGGAAGCAGGAAGGAGGGAAATTGCAGTCAAGCCACGGGCTCAATATAACAGTCCATGATTGCCCTTCCTGTTACACCTTTGAGAAACAGCTGAGCTGTGGAGTTAACCCTTGGGAGACCGGGGCCTACAAAACAGTACTCAGGAATGGGATTGTTGATGTTGTAGACAACTTAGGGGGCTGAACAACACTTCATTGGAAGTGCTGCCTTTGTTTCTTCCTGGTTACTATGCTCAATTTGTTTATTAACTCTCACAGGTTGTTGATGGAATATTCAGGGTTTTCCATTTGTAAGTTCATGCCAAATATGAATATAGACATCATATTTCTTCTTTTCCAAATTGGATAAATAATTTCTTTGCCTCATTGTTCTGTCTAGAAAAAGTTGCAGATGAAATAAATGTAGTAAGTATGCAAAAACCATACCTTGTTTCTGATCTTAGAGAAAAGGTTTTCGATTTTTAAAAACTAAGTATGCAATTAACTACAGATTTTTCCATATGAGTTTTATTTTATTTTGAGGAAATCTCCTTCTATTCCTAATGTGTTCATCACTTATGTTCTGAAAATCAACTTAGTTTATTTCATTGAATACAATAGGCATAAGTAAGAGCTGAGGTGGAAATGAAGGATTTCTTTTTGATGTGGGGGTTTGTTTTAAAGAAAAAATCTTCAACACATAAGCATACATCTAAATGAGAGTTAAAACATGTTTTCATGTCACATCTGGACCACAGGTTAGAATCACTACTCTCTGATTGGAGGTTCATTTCTGGTAAGAGTTTACAAAGTTTTGAAATACTTATCAATCCTTCCTTGTCACCTTCTAGTCAAGTCTGCTCAGATGACCTGCAAAATGAAACACACCAGGCAGCAGAAGGTGAGTAGCTCTTAGATCCCATTCACTAAAAAAATTAATTACATTAAAATAAAAAATAAGGAATAATCCTGTTAAGTCCCTCACAACTAAGAGGAGAAAGGACACCGAATACTATTCGCTGTCTTCTTCCTGTCATGATCTTTCATAATAGCTGACATGATCTGTAAATCAGATAAAGGTTTTACATCACACACACATTGGAACCTTCCAACAACCCTATGAATCTTTTACTAAATCATTAAAAAGATGAGGAATGTGTGGTATAGGAATGTGAAGTGTTTAGGGAATTGATTTCAAGAAGAAAAAGTCTCCAAGTGCCTGGTGGCTAAATCCTCACCTTGCACAATCCAGGGTCCCATGTGGAAACCAGGTCATTTCCCAGCTGTTCCACTTCCTATCCAGTTCCCTGCCTATGGCCTGGAAAAGCAGTGGAGGATGGCCTCAGGACCCTGCCCCCACATGGGAGACCTTGAGGAGGCTAAAAATTCCACTCTACAGATCAGCTTGCCTCTGGCTGTTGCTGTCACTTGGGGAATGATCTATAGATTGAGGATTTTGTCTCTCCTTCTCACTGGAAATCTTCCTAGGAATATATATTGATTTGTGTTTGAGCTTTGAAAACATGGTAAAGTGTAACAGCAGTATTACAAAAAATTCTTTAACTCACATTAATGAGTATGTAATATCTAAAAAGTATGTATGCAGGGCCTGGCGCATTGGCGCAGTTGTTAAGGTCCTTGCCTTGCACGCCCGGGATCCCATATGGGCGCCGGTTCTATCCCAGCAGCCCCGCTTCCCTTCCAGCTCCCCGCCTGTGGCCCGAGAAAGCAGTTGAGGGCCCAAAGCTTTGGGACCCTGCACCCGTGTGGGAGACCCGGAAGAAGCTCCTGGCTTTGGATAGGCATAGTATCCGGCTGTTGCGCTCACTTGGGGAGTGAATCATCAGACGGAAGATCTTCCTCTCTGTCTCTCCTCTCTGTATATCCGCCTTTCCAAAATAATAATAATAATAATAATAATTTTTAAAAAGTATGTATGCAAATTTACAGATGAGGAAGGTTAGCTGTGGAGAAGTAGCTAACAGTACACCTGGATTCAAGGAACTTGATATAGGCATCAGCCCATCCAATCCCGAAATCAAATATTCTCTGAATAAATGCTATCATTTTCAGCTTTTATCACCATCTTTCTTTTTGAACAATCATCTGATTTCACCTCTTCCTCACCTTATTTATGCAAACAAATGTTCTGGTTGTATTTCCTATCCGTGCTTTCCTATATTTTCCCCTTGACTGTCCACAGGTTGATAAGACATACTCTTCTAAAGAAGCCCAATTTACCTGCCTTCACATATATTGTTCTCTAGATTATCTTTCCAAATGTCCGCCCCTTTTCCACTTTCATTTGTGCAGAAGAAGTTGAAAATCATCTGGAGGAAAATAGCCTCAATTGATGTGATCTATCCTCAAATACACAAGAAATACAGATAATGTTTTCCCCTCAGCATTCAAACGCCTCAGATAGTTCCCATGTTTGCTGATACATTAAAGAATGCCATGCACCTGAAAACACTTTGCAATCCCAAAGGATAACTAAACTGAATAATAAGTTTCAAACCAAAACTGTTACTTTGTCATTAAAGGGAAAGCCCAGCAGGCCTTCACATAATGAAATGAGTATGAAGGATACCTCAGGAATAGCAAATTTACTAAACACAACTGGCTCAAAGAAGGGCCGGAAAGCAGTGTTTCATCCTAAAGAATCAAACATCTCAGAAGTGGATTCTACACACAACTTCGGTAAGAAAAATCATTTCAAGAGTTGTCTCTCCAGGCCCACTAGGAAGCCCAAGGAGGGTGAGGATTGATGAGGATGGTCAAGCTGTGAGAGGTGCGATTGCATGCTTGGGTCACACTCAATGCAAAATGAATAGAGCCTCTAGAAACATGATTACATTTTAGGCTCATTGGGGGCTGATCTAAGAAACAAAATGGGATAAGGTTACTTAGGCTATATGCAAAAACTTTACAGAGAGGAAGTCAGTTTTCCTAGGAGCAAAGTTGCTACTTAATATGCCTGTTTCCCATGGGTTCCAGAATCAACCCTCTCTCTGACTCTACCATATTGTTAATATACAACTTAGTGTTGCTTGTTGATGAGACACATGATTCAAGTCTTACCATCCTTTAGTGAGAACTGGATAAAGCTTTCTGATCTGAGGCTGGATTGCCTGCTCTCAAAGTTACTTAATCAGTGAACATCCCTACCTCTCTCTGCATTCCACATGCGCTGTTTCTCTCCCCTGATGTGTTGATCTGTATGTGTGTCTTTCTTTGTCTTTTAAATAAAGAGCTGTTCAAATGTCAGGGGAAATGAATGACAACCAGAGATTTTTCATGAAAAAAAAAATTCCATACAGAGTTTCTTGTCTTGAAAGCCCTATATTTTAATAAAACATGAAACACGAAATTACCAATAACTTCACTGACTTAGTTTCTCCATCTCAGAAGTCAGAAGAAAGGATGAGAATGAAAAATTTCAGATGTACAACTTGCAAGAAAGAATGGGACAGACATACAAAGAGTTCAGTGAGACTGAGGATGATGATTACCTGTGTAAGTGACCCTTTGGCACATCCACAAAGAGAAATCCTATAGCCTGAAATCAAATTCCACTTGTACATTTGTCTTTTATCATTCCGTCTACTGGTAACTTGGGTTGCAAAATCGAGGCTGAGTGATGTGCGTAGTTGGCTGCTTCTGTTGCTCTCTATATCCAGTACTGTTTGGTATCCTTTCCCAATCCATTCCATTCTCATCTCCAGATTGTGAGAAGTGTCAGAAGTTCTTCCTGAAAAGCTGTGCTACTCATGGACCCCCAGTGTTTCTAAAGGACAACCCAGTGGATAAGGGACATCCTAGTCGTGCTCTCCTCAGTGTGCCCACTGGGCTTCGAATTGGTCCATCCAGCATTCCTGAAGCTGGGCTTGGAGTGTTTAATGAAGCATCTGATCTACCACTGGGGTTGCACTTTGGTCCTTTTGAGGGCAAGATCATAGAAGTGGAACAGGAAGCCAATAGTGGGTACAGCTGGCAGGTAAGAAGTACATCCCTTTGCAGTCTGGTGGCTTTCCACCTGCCTGCTGTGAGTTTGGCTCATGTGTCCGGTTCATGTGTCCTTCTACACATTATGGCATGAGTGGAGCCAACATGATTACATCACAGAATCCTTACTGAAGTTTAGCATTGATGAGATCACTGGGCTGTAAAAACAAAGCAGTTCGATCTCAGCTGTGGGCTTCTACTGTAAGGAAACAAATCAGATTAGGTGTGTACTAACACTATGTTATGTCTCAAGATGTGGTTGGACTCATGGAATGTCATGGAACATGATGGTAGTTGAGTTAATAATTCTGCTGAACTATCCCATTTCCAGAACCATATTAACTGATTTTTCTGAAACTCAGATAGCCAAAGGGAGAAACAGTTATGAGTACGTGGATGGAAAGGACACTTCTTTGGCCAACTGGATGAGGTAAGAACCATGGCAATTTACATCTGGAGATGATATTTCTCTCAAAGACAAGATCACTGTCCTTTCTCCTCTACTTTCCTCAGTGAGTTTTACATGATATGTTCTTTGCTATCTATTTGAATGACCTTCGAATATTATGGCCAGTTTCTAAAAACACATTCTATATAAATACTATTTAGGAATTTGAGGATGACTAGTGAGGAAAGAAGGAAGAAAGCATGCTTGTCAGAACAAATACGGTATCTACACCTTGGACATGGGACTTCATTGATCTCATGAGAGAGATACATGTTTGCAGGGAGAGCTCTTGCAGAGTAGGGATTCAAACAGGATGGAGGCTATCAGAGAACAGATGAGATTCAAGTGTAACAGCACATGGGAACTCAGCATTTATCTCTGCACCAGGTATGTGAACTGTGCTCGGAATGATGAGGAGCAAAATTTGGTGGCCTTCCAATACCACAGACAGATATTTTACCGTACCTGCCAAGTCATCAAACCAGGCTGTGAACTTCAAATATGGTATGTGGATGAGTATGGCCAGAAGCTGGGTATGAAACGAAGCAGTGGAAAGAAAAAGAAGGGAAGAAAAAGGAAGAACTCACAACAGTGAGAGGTAAGTAGCACTGTATTTTTTTTTTTTTTTAATAAGTAAAGGAGTCACCTGGGGAATATTTGTCATTCAACTCTAAGGAGTCAAATGGAAAGTGGTGGCTGTCAAAGTCCAATTCAAATGTGATTTCAATTTAGCAAAAACAAAGACTTACTTCTCAAAAGAAGGGAAGAGTTATAGAGAGACTCAAGCACAGAGAGAGAGAGAGAGCAGGAGATATCACCAGCTACTGTTTTAACCCAAAGGTTGCACGAGAGCCTGGCGTGGCAGCCTCGTGGCTAAAGTCCTTACCTTGGACATGCTGAGATCCCATATGGACACCACTTCATGTCCTGACTGATCCACTTGTCTTCCAGCTTCCTGCTTGTGGCCTGGAGAAGCAGTTGAGGATAGCCTCAAGCCATTGGAGGCTACAGCCACAATGGGGACCAGGAAGACGTTCTTGACTCTAGAGTTTGGCTTGACACATCTCTGGCTATTGTGGCCACTTGGGAGTGAAAAAGGAGAGACAGATTTCCTCTATGTATCTCCTCCTCTCTGTATATTTGATTTCATATATACATATATATATATATATGAACCTCTGTATATGTATTATATTGTATTGAATTGTATAACATTATATTATATCATATTAGATGATATGATATGGTATCATGTTATATTACATTATATTATATCATATTACATTACATTATATTATATTATGTATTATTTACACTATTTTTTAAAGCTGCATCTGCCAAGACTATCTCTGGCTAAAACCAGGAGCCTGGAGTGCATCTGAGTTTCCCATGCATTTCAGAACTTCAACTATTTTGTACTCATTCACTGGGTACATTAAAAGAGAAGGAGATTGGACATGGAGCAGCCAGATCTCAATCTAGTCATTCTATGTTGTACTAATGTTCCTGTCAGTGACTTGAACCAGTGTGACCTCATACTGACCCATTTTTTAATGTCTTTGACTCCTGGGAAAATTTGGTCTAAGTTTTTATTTAGTTCTTTTATCTTTTAAATACTTTGTGCACAAAAATATCCCAGAACATACCATTTTTTAAAATTTTTCATTATATTTATCACAACTTATATAGTTAATTAGGGTAAAAATGTTCAATGGCTATAGGAAAGTGGGTAAGACTATGATTTCCACGTTGTTTCCTTCATGTATCTGAGGAAAAGGGCAATATTAAGGGAGAATTCCTATCCCGTTACCCCCACCCCCACCTCAGGTCCTGGATGTTGGTTGGAGGCTGTTGTCACATGCAGTACAGGCAACCTCATCTTGGCATTTCCTATTGGACAATTTTTTTGTTGTTGTTGAGACTGAGCCTGGCTCGAAACACATTCTGTTCTGGCTCTCGGATTTGCCACTGGATGACATGAACTGATTCAGCGTGGTCTGCCCACAACCCAATGTATACCAAATATATGCCAGTGGGTAACTTTCCATGACCTGTTCTGGGCTGTTTCCTAGCAGGTTTCATGTGTTTACATGCCAGATATGTGTCCTGCCAGATGAGTTGCCCAGGCTCTTCAATCAGTACCTTTCCCAATGCCAGATTGTGCATACCAGGGGGTCCAATAGCCAGCCGTACTCAGTTCACCTCCTGTCATAGCAGGAACAGTGGCTTGTTCTGACTGGCCTTCAACCCAAACTGCTTCTTGCTGTTGGATGTTTCAGCCCAGCCATGGCTGGTCCACACCCACATATGGCTCACACATGGCCCAGTAGGTCTTGAGACCTAGCCTAGTCTGTCCCACATCTACCCTGGTCCTCAGGAAACTAGATGGTGTTGGAGTCTGGCCAGGCTTGGTGCACCCTGTCCCAGTCCATACTTGTGCCATGGGAGACTATAACCATATCCTGATGAGAACACAGCTGGCATTCTAGCCCACACACCCATTGAAGTGGAAACCTCAATCCATTAAGGGTGTCCCCTTACTTCCCATCTCAGCCTATTCCCAGCCATAGATCCTGTGTTTGCCAGTGATTGCTCTGACTCACTTTGGCACAGGCCCTCACTTGGCCCTATCTCTGCTTTAGACGCTCTGGCATAGCATCGCTGGTTCACACAGACCACTAGGTGCAAGAGATCGTCATGATCTATGCTCCATCCTGGTTACTAGTTTCAATTGTGGGCTAAGGTTTGCTCTGTCTTGCCCAGTACACCCCTTTCCGTTACCAACTGACACATTAGCCAGCTGTTGGAGCTACTTTGCCCAGCTTGTCTGACCACCAGGTATGAGCTACATATTCACCAGTGAAAACTATGACTTGCCAGTGAAGTTACCCAACTTCCTCCACTTGATCCACTCCCAGATTCAGTTCTCATACATGTTTTGTTCCAGGACTTGGCACAATCTGGCCTTCCATTTGGCTTTTTATGAGTTGGTGAACATTGCAACCCGAATCAGGTTATTTAATTTACAGTTTGCACTATAGTTTACTTAGAGAGAACATATGTATATTATTTTCAGTTATATCTCTCTGATGGCTTGGGAGCATGAGCACCTTTTCATTTGAAACTATTTTTTTCAAAAAAATAAATGTCTGCTAAATCTTTTGCTCTTTTCTTCAAAGGTGGTTTACTTATTTCTTTGTTGGTTTGGTTTTTATTGTCCCTGGGATTCTGTAGCTCCTTATAAATCCTGGATATTAGTTCCCCATCACTTGTGTGTTGTGCAAGTATTTTCTCTGTTTCTGTTGTTTACCTCCTCACTTTCTTCATTTGTTTCCTTTAGTGCATAGAAGAACCTTTTCAGTTTGATGACATCCCATTTGTTCACTTTGGCTTTGATTGCCTGTGCTTTTGGTTACTTTTCTAAGAAGTCTTTCCTTGTTGCTACAATTTTGAGTGTGCTTCCAATACTTTTTCATGAAAAGTTTGATGGTTTCTGGGTGTAGATTTTGGTCCTTGATCCATTTAGAGTCATTTTTTTTTAGTTGGACAGTTGTGTTTCTTGCTTCTTACCTCTGCAGCTGCTAAACAGTTATCCGAACAGCACTTGCTGAATAGATCCGGAATTTTGCTTGGATAGTTTCCAGCTTTCTTGTCAAAGATTAGTTGACCCTACATGTGTGAACTCCCTTCTAGTGTTTGTGTTCTGTTCCACTGATCACCTTCTCTGTTTCTGATCCAATACAAGAGTGTTTTGATGACCACTGATCTGTATCAGTCTTGAGGTTTGGAATCGTGATTTCTTTCACTTGGCTTTTTATTATTCAAGATAGCTTAGGTTATTTCTGGGCTTTCATGAATCCAAATGAACTTTCTTACAAATTGTTTCTATTTCTGAGAAAAATGTTATTGGGATTTTGATTGGGATTGCATTGAATCTGAATATCATTATTGGTAATATGCTCATTTTGATCGTGTTGATCCTGCCAATCCAGGAATGTGATATAATTTTTCCAGCTTTCAAGATCTTCCTTTATTTACATCTTAAATGTTCTATAGTGCTGGAGTCCAGCTCCAGCCGGGTTCTGAGCTTGGGAAAAGTGCGTGGGGTCGGCGATAAGAAAGACACAGGCACAGACACTTGGTGTATTCTCACCACAGCTCCAGAAAAAGCTGTCCTTTTTTATTTTCTCAAAACCCCTCTCAAGCTTCTACACAAGCAACTAATTCTTCTATTTTTTACTTCAAAATTAACGGGGCATGTACAGACATTTGGTCACTTCGTCTGCACTTCAAGGCTAAGCAGGTGCCGCTAAAGATAATTCTGCAAATTACTGTATTCATATTCTTCAAAGCAAGCTATTATTTAATCTTCAACAGTATCCATAAAGCAACAGCCAGGACTCCAAGGCCTTGGCACATGTGATTACCTGATAATTAGTAGTACTTTCCCACCACATTTCTATTTCTACAATTTACACATCATTTAATGGAAGAATAGGTTATAAGGGAAAAAATCTAAAATCCAAAACAGGAATTTCAAATATAAAATCCCCCTAAAACTACAGATTCCTTAACCCCATAAACAATGAGACAATAATCAAAAGCATTTTTTAACAAAAGCATCCTCAATTCCTCTAGCTAAAATTATAAAAGCGGCTAAAACAGTTACATTTTCTATGCTCCAAAAACTTGCAAAGACAGGCTAGCCTTTGAGATAACAATAACTATATTTACTGCCATAGCAATTTCACTTCTCACTCCCATCACTTGCATTGCTTTGTTAAATTCTTATTAAGCCATTTCCCAGAAGGCATGCTATATGTCTGGCCTAATTTCGGGGCAATGGGTAGGTACAAAATAGGGTGTCCAGAAATGGCATGGGTTTGATTGTACTCCTGTGTGTCAATTGTCAAAGGCTCACTCATCAAGACATTATCAGTGACATTAACTCTCAAGCTCACATTGTTGAAAAAAGCCATTTCACAGGGGCAAACAACAATGCCTCAATAGATTACAGAAATCTTAGTGGGGTGCTTGAATGTCCATGCAAACAGGGGGTGAAACAGCATCAAGGGGGTCAGAGAGAATTCTGCCAAGTTTTCTCATCTAGGATGAACACAAGACATTTTCTCTCCAGGCTATAATACTAGAGCAGTGGAATACAGATAGGTCCCATGCTATATCCACCAGGCTGAGGACAGTGGCACTAAGAAACCTGAAATGAATGGCTATATCACTGGCCATTGCAGGCACTGAGAAAAGGAGCCAGGAGGTACAAGAATTTCTCTTAAACTGTATGCAATAATACCTTTCAAATAATTCAAAATAGTCTTTTAAAATAAATTAGCATAGCTTTTCCAATAAACCTACCCAGAAAAAGTCTATCTTCAAATGGATTAATGAGGCTTCAAGTGCATATAGGCATCTCGTTGCTGGACAAATACACTAACAACTGGAATACAGGTTCTCTGGTTAGTAACTGATGCTCATTGGATGAAGCCAATCTCATTTACTCCCATGTGGGTGCAGCGTTCCAAGGCTTTGGGCA